ATGTAGGAGACTACTTGAGAAGGTATGAGGTTGGACTTTTATGCATTGATTTTTAGGCTTAATTTTTCCAGGGTGAATCTTGTGGCTGAGAGTGCTTTGTGATAGGATCGGGCCACTAAAAGCCAGTCGTTGATGTAAGGAAAGATTTTTATCTGCTGGGTCTGTAGGTATGCGATGACTGGTGCCATGCATTTTGTGAATGTCCTGGGGACCATTGAGAGCCCGAACGGTAGGGCAGTGAATTGGAAGGTATCGTGATGGAACCAGAACCGGAGAAATTTTTGATGAGACGGGTGGATGGAGATATGGAAATACGTGTCCTGCAAATCAATGGTGACGAACCAGTTTCCCTGAGACAAGAGGGGAAGAATGGAGTCAAGGGTGAGCATACGGAATTTCTTATGAAGTATGTACCGGTTGAGGTATCTTAAGTCCATGATGGGCCTTATGCCCCCGTCATTCTTAGGGACTGCAAAATAGTGGGAGAAAAAGTCATCGGTACTGTTAGATGGAATTTGGATTATGCCTCTTTGGATAACAGAGATGAGATTTCCAAATGCAGTGGCATGGAAAAGGGAGTAGGTCTAATTGAATTTGGCGGAGGAATGCAAAAAAAATTCTATCCTGTATCCATGTTGAATGATACTAAGGACCCACTTATCAGTAGTGATGTTTTTCCATTCTTGTAGGAATGGAGACAATCTTGTATATGAGCGAGATTCAAGAGAATTGCTTACCCCTATGTTGGGTCTTGCGAAAGGACTGCTTAGGGCTACGAAAGCGTTGTTGCCTGAACAGCAGCGTAGGAAGCTGCTGAGTTTGGTAAGTGTGGTCCTATTGCTGCTTACTGTACCGAGAGGGCTGGTACTGAGTAGATGATTGATACTGTGGCTTTTTGTAGGATAGCTTGTGGTACCTATATGGCTGGTATGGTATGTAGGATTTCGCTGTCTTTCTCATCTTATGGATATTGTCCATAGTTTCATCAGTTTTAGAGTTGAACAGCCCCACCGCATCGAAGGGAAGTTCCTCAATTTTGGTCTTGGTGTCTTCAAGGATGTTGGCTGTTCTAAGCCAGGCGTGGCGTCTAACAGCAATGGCAGTCACCATGGATTTGGAAGCGACATCAGCTGTGTGTTTTGCAGCAAATCGCTGTTGCCTGGTAAGGGTGTTAGCCTCTTCATAAACATTGAGGGCTTCTGCCCTTGAGGGATCAGGTAACAATTGCAGCATTGGAACTATCTTGTCCCACAAGTGCTTCTGATATGCGCCCATGGCAGCCTGGTAGTTAGCAATTTTAATCAACATTGCAGCAAACGAATACAGCTTCTTTCCAAAAGTGTCTGATTTCTTTCTGTCTTTGTCAACAGGTGTAACTGATGATCTAGTATGGGATTTATATTGAGTTCCCAATGGAATTGGGTGAAGGATGCTTGGCCAGAAAGTCAGAGTCCGAACCATGAATCTTATAGTGGTGCTCAATCTTTCGTGGCACCTGTACCAGTGTAGGAGGTTTGTCCCAAGAAGATTTTACCAGCTCAAACAGAGCAGGAATGAGACTGAGGCTAGGAGGAGAAGTTTTATCCCATATCATGAAAAACAAGGTCCCGTTCTTGTTGAGGGATTTGTGCATCGAGCTGCAGAGTTTTTGCCATCTGCATAATAAGCTGTGCATAGGATGAGAAGTCATCTGACGAGGGCTGAGATGATGAGCCCTGGGCAGCAGTATCAGAGGCGTCAGAGTCGGTGGACACCGTAGATGGATTAGATGACTGTAAGGCGATCGAAGGAGAACGCCTTGGTACTGTGTCTTCTGGTGCCACCTCCACATCCAATTGGGTGGACTGGGAGAAGGGTACGGTATCGTGGACATCAGGGCTGGAGTAAAGCGCAATTGGGCGAACCGAAGAGTGTCCACCACTGTACTTAGCACACTTGGGAAGTGCTGTAGGTACCGTAGGAAATTGCCTCTTGCGAGATGGTGCTTGAGGCATAGAAAAGTCCTGTTGAGTATGTGGCTGACATGGGATGGGGGAGCCACGGTATGGTGCCACGGTACTTCTGCCTAACGCTCCAACTGATAGGTGTAGCTCTGGTATGGATACGGTTGGAACGGAGCATAAAAAGGGTGGCCAAACTGTGGTGGTCCTTGCGGACGGTACCCATTGCCTCCATCCCGAGGCTTGTACAGAGCGATGTTTTTGCGCTTTGCGGTACGCTTCCTAGGAGTTCCCTGATCAGACTCCTGTTCAGATGGAGACTCGGTATCAGCCCGCCCTGAGTATCGAGGGCTTGGATGGGCAATGGCCCGGCTGGTGTCTGGCTCAGCCTCAAATTGGCCCGAGTTTGGCAACATGCACATATGTTCCTGAGCCATCTGGGCTAAAGGAATGTGCTCGTCTGCATCAGAGAGTCCAATTGCTTCCCTTGAAGACTCCTCGAGCAATATCGAAGGAGCGCGAGGAGGCACAACAGGCAACTTGCCTGGTTTCTTCGCTCTCTTGGGCTTATCAGTGGCCTTCTTTTTTGCAGGGCGAGAAGGCGGTTTGGCTTTTGGTGGTTTGGAAGCGTCCTTAGCCTTAACTGGCACAGAAATGGTAAGCAGCGGTTGGTGTGCTGGAGAGTTTTGTTTAGAGGCCTCAGCACGCGGTGGGGACAGTGCTGTGAGGGAGGCGCTTTCCATGTTTGGAGACAGAGTCTTTTCGTAAAGGAAAGATCGAAGTCTTTGGCACCTTAACTTAATTGCTTGCTTTGAAAAGCCTTTGCAAGATGTGATTCTCCAAGACAAAACAAGCATTTATCGTGTCCATCTGATAAAGGAATTTTCTGGGAGCAGACAACACACTGCTTGAAGCCCTGAGGGGCCATAAACAAAAGAAAAAAGGGGGATCCGTTGATCGGGGGGGGGAACACGACAGAACAGAGATAAACAACTCAAATATAGGAGGTTCTGTCAAATAACTACTAAAGTAAAAGAAAGTAAATAAATAAGCAAGGAAAAGGGTAGCTAGCTTAATGGTCGATAGCTCTGCTCTTCCTACATCCTACAGGAACGGCGGAAAAAGAGGAACTGAAAGGAAGATGGAGGAGGTGGGGCTTATATACCCCGCGGGGGGAGCTAATTGACTCTTTTTTCTTAAGCTCTAGAATCTTCCGGACGTTCCTGCGCAGGCGCAGGATAACCCATTTGTGTGCATTCACAGAGACCACTATGAAGAACCAAAAGGTTAATGTTGCTGGGCTTGGGCATCAATTTGTCCACAGCATCCCAATATCCCACTATAAAGATCTCTCAGTGCTTTGGAAACTCATTCATTTTGGATGGCCTCCTGTAATGCTTTCAGTGGTTACAGGGCTTTCTGAAATTGCTAAGTTGCCTAAACTCTGAAAATGTTTTGCAATGTATAGGGCTTGTATTTGTTATGCTTGCTACTTCAGAACTGCATTAGAAACGGTTTGATGTTTTCAAGTTATTTATAATTTGGGTAGTAACCCACCTTGTGAGGGTTATGCCTTATGAAGAAGTTTAAAAACACACAGAGAAAGCAGAAAAAATGGCTGCATAAATATGCTTCGTTGGCATTACATTTTTACAATAAAAGCACTTTGTTCTTTTTTCAGTTAGATTAAAAAAACACTTTTGGTTTGTATATATTCATTTGCTGGAAACAGAATGTGCCACATTAGATTAGTTTTACTGAAAAACCAAATGATAAAGGGCCTGCCATTCTTCTGAAACTAATTAACAAAATAGATAAAAGAATTTTGGTTTGGTAAGAACTGTTTGTTCACTGAACCAAGAGGCCATTTAATTTCATGCTGTGTTTGCTTAATTATTGGATGACAAAATATGATCATGAGGCATGTAAACTTCTGTTTTTGTGTGTACACAAGCTCCTAGTGCTGCCAACGCAGCCCACACTGACCTTTTGACTGAAGAAACTCAAAAGCTGGCCTGCACTTTGTGAGTGCCTCTCACTTCAAGTTTAACTTGTGGGGGAGGATGCTGAACAATCACCATTGTCTACCCTGTGATACATTTCTCACTTTAAATGGGAACTAATGAGGGATACCATTCCCATGTATAAGCAATACTAGTGTTAGTGGGTAATATGAAAACATTTACAGCTTGCAGGGCAATCCTGGGATCAAGGTATTCAACATTAGACTCCCTGATAGAAATGATACAGAAATAGGATTTAATACACCAACAAATACACAAAAATAGTAGGGCATAAATCTTAATGCTGGAAATGTTCTTCAAACAGCAGGAGCTTACATGACTACAAGTAGGTGGGACCTTCCACTCACCAGAAGATCAACAGGATATTGCCTATATAGTTTTCACAGGCTGCTTTCTATGCATTCCTAATTTTTTACTTTCAAGTAAGTTGTGAAAACCACACAGAGTTTTATTCCAAACTTTTCTTTCATTCTGTTTTCTTCTGGCAGGAAGGAGCAACATTAGGTAAAGCTAGAATAACATATTACAAGAAAAAAGCAGTTGCCATGTTGCTTTCTTTCTCTGGACATACTAGGAACAGGTGACACAATACATGACATTATTTCATGGCACTGCACATTTCTAGCCACTGTCAACAGCTAATCATCTTCCCTTGCTTGCACAGACAAAGATCCTACAGTGGATTTCATCCCTTAAAAGCTCGTGTAATACATAAACCATTCATATATATGTCACTCACCATAACTATAAGAATTGTGCTAGTAAATTTGTGATCTGATGGCTGTTTCACTCTGTAAATTCATGTTTAACTCCTTCAGCATCAGCGTAAGCTAAAATAATTGACACTCAATGCTAGATTTAACTTAAGTCTCTTTTATCTTCTGTTTATCAAACTCAGTCAGAATTATGCATTTCACAACCACACTCCTGCTCACTTCAGTTCCCTACTGATTCTATGCACATTTTATTCCTGACAAATTTTGCATCTCGAAAATGCCTCAGAGTGCTGGCACAGATTTGCCACATAACACCTTACCTTAATGTCTATATTTTGGTTTCCTTTTGAAATCAGCAATGGTTTTTCAGAAATTGTAAAGGATGGATCATTCACATAATCAAAGTTAAAACCAGATGAAATGACACCATCAAAAATGAAAAATACTTTTGTCACAAAAGGCAGTGTCAGATTAGAGGATTTTAGTGAAGGAGTTGTACAACAGATTATCTCAGAATTTGAGCGATGGTTACATGCCTGTAACAGAAAAGGAAAACAGATCAGTAGATTAACATTAGAATGTAACAGGGGCCTACAATATTTTCCTTTCGTTGCAAAAGGAACTTATTATAAAGTTTACACACACACAAGATAGGAGCAAATTCCAGTCATATGTATTGTACTAGATATTGTGCTTCTCTATGTGATTTCTCTTTATTGTTATTGCTTGTTGATGTTTACAATTGGTATGGCATTATTTTTAGCCTATATGTGTTTGTTGTTAACTGCCTGGAGAGTGCATATCAGACTACAGTGATGCCTCGCACAACGATTGCTTCATACAATGACGAATTCACACAGCAATGGGTTTCTTTGAGGAATTTCCCCCATCGTTTAACGATGTTCTCTATGGGGGAATTTCACTCAACGATGTCCCTTTTTCGCTCCTGTAAAAGTGTCTTAAACTGTTAGAAACCTGTTTTAAATGCTTGCAATCGTTAGCCCACCTCCTGAACCCTATGCAAACTTAATTTGGTGTTGTTCTGAGTCGTCATTAATTTTTGGTGACCGTTCAAAGGCTTTCAATGGAGAGTAAAAAAAAAATCACCAAAAATTAACGACGACTCAGAACAACACCAAATTAAGTTTGCATAGGGTTCAGGAGGTGGGCTAACGATTGCAAGCATTTAAAACAGGTTTCTAACAGTTTAAGACACTTTTACAGGAGCGAAAAAGGACTTCGCAAAGCCATTGAAATGCATTGAGTCGGCTTCAATGCATTTCAATTGGGGAACCGGGTTTCACTCAACGATGTTTCCTATGGCGATTTTCGCTTAAGGACAGCAATTGGAACAGATTAACCGGTTTTCAATGCATTCCTATGGGAAATGGTGTTTCGCAGAACGATGGTTTCACACAGCAATGAATTTTTTTGAACCAATTAACATCGTTGTGCGAGGCACCACTGTATTGGGAGTATATGATGGAGGGGGGAGGGAGGGACAGACGGACAGACGGACAGACAGAAAGACAGGATAGATAGACAGACTGACAGACAGACAATATTATTGTTATACAAACTGATTTAACCAAGTTATACTACAGGCATTTATCTGTACACATATTTGTGGATATATCATATGTGTCTTGGAGGCTTATTTATGTTGTGTTCCACTTTTACATCTGAGACTATAATTGATCCTTCCAACTTCAGGAAATGCTCTTTGTGCTAAAGGCACAAGGTGTTGAAGGTTCCATGACTATTTCCACTGGTAGATAAATTACCGTATTTTTCGCTCCATAAGACGCACCTTTCCATAAGACGCACCATTTTTTAGGAGAAGAAAACAGGAAAATATAATCTGTTTTCTTCGCTCCATAAGACGCACAGACTTTCCACCCCCCTGCTTTGTGGGGAAAAAGTGTGTCATATGGTGTGAAAAATACGGTAAAATTCTTAGCCCTAATTCAGGTGTGTACTTTCAATGCATATTGAATTATACCAAGGGAGGGAAAGATGTGGCCCTCTAAATGCCATTAGACTGCCACTTCACTTAGCACAGTCAGTGATACAACCTGCAATCCAACAACATCAAGATGACTACTAATTCCCTCTGTTTCTGCTCTATAACTACTGTTTCCCCTGACACTTTGATAGACGACAGAGATCTGTACTGAAAGAGCTGAAAGGTCCACAGACGGGAAAGAGGACACAACCTGCATCTGTTAGAAATGTATGTATGGGCCCATAAGAAATTGCTTAATAGACCAACTCTGTGAAGAAGACCTAAGAGAGTACTTTTTCACTTTAAATTAGAGATGGGGACAAATATAAAAATGGATTGCTTTTTCTGATGAATATAGCTGATTCGTTAAATATTTGTTGATCCATATTTGTGGGTTCCACAGACCCCCATGAATACGAAGGGCTGAATATTTACCTGTTTTTATTTGTCCTTCTTATAGAAAACAAAAAAAACACCATTCTGCCTACTGACTGCCGATCAGCGGATTGGCGGCAGAAAGGTAGCCACTCCCCACTCCCAATACCACAGCCTACCCCCACCCCATTCCTTTCCCTACCTTAGGCCACATGCCACTGACACCCTCTTACCTTAATCGCTGCTTCCAAGGTCTTCTGGCCTCAGAGCCATGCATGTAAAAATGGGGACTGGCTGCCGTTTGCAAAGATGGCAGCTGTAGCTTCCCTTCCCTAAATGAAGCCACAGACACTATCTTTGGAGAGGGCAGCCAGTCTCCTTTTTTACACGCCGTGGCTGTGAAGGCCTGATGGAGACCTCGGCAGCAGCTATTAAGGTAAGGGGTATCGGTAGGAGTGGGGCGGGGGCTAGGATAGGGAAAGGAAGGGGGTGTGGGAGTAGGCTGTTGGGGTGGCTGGCTGTGTATGTGTGTGGTGGCTGCCTATCGGCTTCTGATCAGCTGATCGGCGGCCGGTAGGCAGAATGGGCTTCTGTGCCATGCGGTAAACTCTCCTGGGGGGATCCAATTTGTGGGTGAATAACTCAGATGTCCGATATCCAATCTTCAGCAAAGTTGGCAGACATGTTGGGGAAAGATACAGGAATCTCCGTTGTGATTCTGGAGTCTCTTAAGTGCCTGGGGGGAGCTTTCCTGGGGGGTCCTCTTTGTGACTATATAACTTGGGGATCCATGATCCAATGTTCACCAAACTTTCAGGAGTTGTAGAAAGGTGTCTGAGGAAGCTTCCCTGCAAATGTGATGTCTTAGGTAGTTCGGGGCCAGTGTTATAGCCATTTAAAGTGCAGACGAATCAACGGATTGATCCATTGATTTTTCGAAGAATATTTGTGTATTTGTTGATCCGTTAACCTTGACAAATAACGGATCAAAATGAATTGCCATTTTTTTTATTTGTCCCCATCTCTACTTTAAATATGACATGGCAAAGTCAGTCAGAGTTTATGCCTGCATGCTAATGCCATTTAAACAAGACATGACTTACTGTGATAGGAATAAACTGCAGTGAGAATTGGTCTTGCACACAATCCCTGTCCTAAACTTTACCAAAGCAGCTGAGAGGAGATTGGAAGCATCTGCTTTATTTAATTTACTGCAGTTAATTTGGGATGTAGCCAAACTCTACATGGGGGTGTAGCCCTTTTAATAGTCTCTGACACCCATGAAATTAAGAAGCACAGCCACCAGACACCATACAAGCAGCTTAGCTAGCTCCCATGAATGCTAGCAGGAAATGGAAGCTGGGTGGAATGATGCTTCTCATGCAGCTTTTGAACTGCTGAACTGGATTTCTGTTTGAACCTGCTATTCCAAAGCTACCTGGATTTGCTGTTGTGAGAGAGGCAACTTGGGTTTGGTACATTTATGTGTGCCTCTATCCACAACCAAAAAGAAACCTTGTGTTTCAATATAGAGTGAAATATATGATGGGCAAGTTGGTGGGAATGCTGAATACCTGGCAACCTAATACAGTGGGGTCTTGACTTACGAACGGCCCGAGTTACGAACATTTTGACTTACGAATCGCTCTCATAGGAAAATATTGACTTGTCTTACGTACTTAGATTTGAGTTACGAACTGAAAAAAACTGAAAAAAAAACATGTGGGAGGCAGGGAAAGTGCAAAATTTGAACTTTCAGTTAACTGTTGGCCAGTGAAAAGGGTGCCTGTTTGCTTCCTCACTCCTCCCAGCATTTAGAGAGTGAATTGGGAGACAGTCTTCAGACTGCCTGGTACTGTACTGCCTGGACGGTATTTTCCCTGCCTTCCCTGAACCTTTCTTGACTTAAGGAAAAAAAGAAACAAAATATTCCCCCTCTAGTGGTCGAAGGCAGAATAGCAGCTTCCCATTAGTTTCTATGGACGGAAAAGAGCAGATACGGATCAAATGGTTTTCAATGCATTTCTATGGGAAATGCAGATTTGACCTGAGAACTTTTTGACTTGAGAACCGCCTTCCAATACGGATTAAGTTCTCAAGTCAAGACCCCACTGTAAGACTGGGAGAGGAATTCCAATCTACATGTTTGTGCAGCTTATACTTAGATAACATAAAATTACATTACAGAGATATTTGCACTGGATGAGGAACACAGTGGTGCCTCAACTTGCGAATGTCCCGACTTACGTCCATTTCAAGTTGCTCTGGCCGCAAAATTTTGCTTCGACTTGCGGTTGGAGCTTTGAGTTGCAATTTAAAAAAAAAAACAGGGAAAAAGGGTGGGAAATTCAAATTGCTAACCGTTGGTAGGTGAAGAGGCTGCTTCTTTGTAGCTTTTTCACCCCAGCAGTTAGAGTGAGTGTGATCGGAGGAGGCTTCGGACTGCCTGGTAAGTTAAGGTGCTGCTTTTTGCTTTTTAAATACTGTTCTGCATGGGTTTTGCAGGGTGGGTTTGGGCTGGGGGGGTTATGTTTCTCTGATATGTTATTGTTTTGTTTTTTGGTAATCATTTTGCAGCCCCACCATGGAGCTTGCTCTGTTTTTTAAAATTATTTTAATTTTTTATTTTTATTTAATTTTTGCAGTCCCAGCGCACTCCTATGGGGCTTGCTCCATTGTGGGTTTTTGTTGTTGTTGTTCTTTTTAAAGCCCCAGGACCTTCGGGGCTTGCTCTGTTTATTTTTGGGTTTTGATTTTGTTTTTTTTAAAGCCCCAGCGCCTTCTTCATTTATTTTTGGGTTTTGTTTTTGTTCTTTTAAAGCCCCAGTGCCCTCGGGGCTTGGTCCATTTATTTTTGGGTTTTGTTTTTTTTTTAAGTCCCCAGCACCTTCGGGGCTTGCTCTGTTTATTTTTGGGTTGTGTTTGTGTGGGCTTGTTTTTTTGGCAGCCCCAGCACATTTCTATGGGGCTTGCAGTGTTTTATTTTTATTTTATTTGGGGGTTTTTTTTTCCCAGCCAGAACATATTAATCACGTTGCAATGCATTTCAATGGGAAATGGTGCTTTGACTTACGACCATTTTGAGTTACATCCATTTTCTGGAACGGATTATGGTCGTAAGTCGAGGCACCACTATACAGCCTGTAATCAATAAAA